TATTATAGATACGTATTATAGGTCAATTTTTTTTAATACCATAGATAAGTAAATAATATGTCTTATACTTAGACTGACTGGCATACCATCTCCGCTCAGAATAGTTTTTCTTATACAATGATATTATATCATTGAATTCAAATTTAATACCATCCATTATTATACAGTGACCCACTTGTAACCTACTGTAGGTACAGTAGAGCACCTTTTTTTTTTATCAAATATAGATTTTCTTAACAAATAAAGATGTTTTATTCATTTATTGAATAAAGATATATTATTCATCCACTTTTTTTTTTAATTTCCACGATAAACAATTTATGAAGAACGTTGTATTACATTTTCAAGTTTTTAAATCGAGCAAAAGATTTTATTACCCACAATAATTAAAAAAAAACTAATAATACTTTCTTATGCCTATAAAATGCTCAAAAAGAGTCGCAATATTTTAAATCTGAAATCGTGAGTATAAATATTTTCAGTAAATATTTCATTAATCTAAGATTATTTTTTTGCTTATAAAAATATCAGTTTTTCTTAATTTTTTAAAACTAATGGGAATTTTTACTGTTGACATCAAAGTAAGTACCAACTAGATTCACTTTATTATTACCAGAAAAGATGTTGTTGAAGAAATCGAAGCACTCCTGGATACCCACTGTCCAAAAAGGTGATTACAGATACAAATAAAATAAAAAACACATCTCTCCACTCAAAATCTAAAACTGGTTATACTTTTCCACTTTAAACTATGTAATTTAAAATAAAAATTCATGTTTATTAGTGCCTTAGTAGACATGAGGTCCCCAAGCACCAATTTTGTTAAATATTTGAATAAATGTATTCAAATAAAAATATCAAAAACATTTTTTTTATTCAAATACTATTCGAAAACGTACTACGTATAGGTATTGAATAATTTTTCATGTATTTTTTTTTTCATTAAAAAATACTTTTTTTAAATACGAATAATAGTTTACATTTGTGACAAAACAAATCGTTCTATAAAAAATTGGGGAAATATTATAACAGTAGTTTTTCTCTTTAAATGAAATATGATTGACTCACGTTAATTTTCAATCATTCCGCAAAACTGGCAAATATTAGCAGAGGAAAATAATATATCTATCCTAAAAGTATTATTAATATTATTAATTATTATAGTATATATTTTATGATATATTCATGTTGCTATTTGTGGATTATTTTAGATTCTGAGTGAAACGATGAATGTATTGATTTTACAATGATGTGTGTTTTTTTTTTTTTGTGTCTGTCATCACGTTTTAGGACAGTAAAAGTGCTTGGATTTTCTTCAGCAGTAGTTTTTCTGATAGGAAAGTGAATTTAGTTAGTACTTTTGGGGGTAAAAAGTGAAAATTTCTCAGTAGTTTTCAAAAGCGGAGTGAAAAACAAAATAAAAATTAAGGAAAAACAGGAATTTTTACACTAAAATCTGTTTTCGAAAAAATCGATTTTGGTTTTTGGTGGAATTCTTAAACGAATGACCGTAGGTACATGAAATTTTGACTGAATGTTTGTATTAGCATTTTCTATACACGATAACATTTTTAAAATGTTTTGATTTATTTTGAACTGTTTAGGAACATTTTCATTTTCCATTTTTTTTTAGTTTTTTTTCTAAAAATATCAATAAAATTTTATTTGTTGGTTAAAAAAAAGGTTAAACATTTAATACAAGGCTTCTACTATATTGTTACAATGGCATTTGAAAAATATTAAAAATCCTTAGTCACAGTTTTTTTTTATAAGCATTTAAAGTTCAAAAACTGACAAAATATGGAAAAATCACGAAAATTAGCAAATTATTTTGAGTTAAGAATTTTTCTTTTTAAATCTAAGATTTGAAAATGTAATACAAGATTCTATATAAGATTATCTACCTTTATCAAAAAATAAATGTCAATAAGAAAGTCAAATTAAACTTTTATGAGTGTTTGAAATTCAAATTTTTACAATATTGGATATTCACTCGATTTCTCATGTAGCGATTTCCTTATTTTGTTGTAATTCAAAAACGAACAACTTTAGATATATGAAAATTTCACTGAATGTTTATATTAGCATTTCCTATACACCATACAATTTTGAAAATATTTTGACTCTTTTTGAGTTGTTTACGGACATTTTCAGTTTTCAATTATTTTAATTTTTTTTCTATAAATATCAATTAAGTTTGATTTTTTAATTAGTAACAAATATTTTTAATTTATACCTACTAGATGATTTAAAATTAATTAATCATTCTCTTTCTCAACATATTCAATTGTGACACATAAAATTATTACTTATTTTCTTATACATAAAAACCAAAAATATTTTGATTTTGTAATTAGTACCTAACATAATATTTAGATTTCCAAACATGGAATTGTATACCATGTTCTCCTTTTGTATACATCTGACATCACATTATCACAACTTCTATTTATATAGTTACTACATTACAAATTCTATGAATTAAATAAAAAAAAAAAATAAAATAAATAAAAAATAATGAAAACCATCATTGTTACAAATTTATATATGTGTTATATTTACAATGTATCAAAAGATAAATTTGACATTAAATATTTTTGTAGAATGACATTTTTAAGACTATATATTATTGTTTTGTGTTTCACATTTTAGAAATGATTAAATAATTAACTTATGATTAGTATATGGGCATATAAGTATTTTATTTTTTTTAATAGTAATACTTAGTTTTAATTACAAATTTGAACACAACTACCATAATTAAATCATCTATAGTATCACCACATATAATCCGTTTTCGTTTGACTAAGTAATTATAATTGACTGAGTCATTTTTAGGTGTTTGGCTAAATATACAAAACTTAATATTTAAGCATATTCTACATTCAGTTGACAGTTTAAATTACATATTAATAATACTAATTAGTCTTTGTGTTATTAACTAAGATAGTTTTGTTAATAAATTGTATTAAATCCAAAAGGTTTAAATATCAAAAATTTATTTTTTATAACAAGTTAAATGTTAACTCTTTCACTGCTCCAGACTGTACTATTACATTCCTGTACTTTATTAAATTATATTTTGTCAAAAACCATGCAACTTAAAGAAACCCTAGCTCGCATTATTTTAAACTTCAGGGGATTGGAAGCAATGTTTTTCCGCATTTGTCTAACAGTTAACACACATAGAATATAGGAATTCAGTTGTATTTTCATTCCGATGAACTGACTGATCTAGTGAAACGATAATAATTCTAAAAACTGAGTAATTTTTAATTTGCATGTTTTCTTTAGATATATTTTCCCACATTTAAGATATTATCACCCTAAATCTAAAAAAAAATTTTACTAAGAAAGGAAACAGAATATTTAAATTTTTGAGGAATTTAAAATTAAAAATCTGGGGCTATCTTAAGTAGACTTGATGACAAATTCAAATCTGTTTATAGAATTCTTATCGATTCACTAAGTCAATTGGTAAATTTGAATAAAAACAGCAAAGGTGGGCATTAATTTGTTAAAAAGTTAATTTTTTTTTAACTTTTTAACTTCACTAGTTAATTATTTTTGTTTTTAACTTATTAACTTATTCAGTTAAAATTGTTATTGTTGTAACTTAACTTTTTCTAGTTAATTATCATTGTCATGCAGTTAAGTTAATTTTATTTTTGAGTCATGCGTAATCAACTAGGCAATACAGATTTGTCAACTTTTTTACGATTTTGGTAATTTATTTTCGAATTATATATTATAATAATCTAATTGTTTACACAATGTTAAATATCTTGGTAAATGTTTGTTTATAACAAAATACTATGGTGATTTATGACTTAAAGATATTGTACATTCCAAAACATTAACTTTTTTTTAACTGAGATAAGCTAATTTTATTTTCTATCTTAACTTTAAATTTATCTAGTTAAATTTTTTTTTTTGTTAAATTTTAACTTAACTGAATTCAATTCAATTGAATTAACTTAACTTTCCAGATTTAAATATTTTCATTAACACGTTTGCTGCGTAAGACGCCAATTGGCGTCATTGTACATAGTTCGCATGTGCTGAATGACGCCCATTGGCGTCATGTATCTTGTTATTTAATGGACTATAATTTGGTCAGCGTTACGATTAAACTTTTGGTTTTTTGTCAGCATCTTCTATAAGCATTCTTTCATAATCAAGTGCAAACTGTACACTGATATTTTAATTTTTCAATTTTTAGGAAATTTTTTTTTAAAACTAGAATTTTATCAGCGTTACGACAAGTATACAAAAATATGATACGCAGTGAACGTGTTAACTTGGCCACCATCGGAAAACAGATCAAAATTCCTATTTTTCACGCGTGTTAGACAAAGACAGAAAACCTCCACTTTAAATCTCCTCAAATAATTAGATCATATAAGTAGATCTCAAAATTTACACTTAAAAAATATATATTTTATTTTTGTAGCATACACAGGTCGCAGTGCATAAATGGTGTAACAGTGAAAAAGTTAGGTAAATAGACCATATTTAAAAACTTATATTTGGTCTTGTACATTTCATTTCTAAGTTAAAAGAAAACATGATAAATCAAATTACTTAAAAATGAAGCTGTGTTCTCATTTGTCATTAAAACATTTAAAAAAAATTGTTTTTGAGCACATGCACATATAAAAAAATCTAAATTATTTCCAAAATGTGCACTACAATAACGTTTAGGAAAAAACCACAATTCAAATTGAACACCTTTCTTCAAAAATACTGAGAATCACTTCTATCTTTGGACATACTGTAAATATATTATTATTACATATATTTTATTTATTATTTTAATTACAAAAATTATAACATTATATATTACAGTTTATACATAGATTTTTCAAAAGGCACGTGGCATCAAAAATATTTTTCCAGATCAATATAAATAATGGTTATACTTAAAGTGAAGGTAAATTATTATCTTAGTTTTAAAAATAAATTCGTAAAAAAGTTTGTAAGTAGCTGTTTGCTGTTTTTTAAACTTTAATTTTCGATGTGAACCCAATACCATTTGGAGGTTGCTGCTGGTGAGTACTACAATAATTATTAGGCACAGTTGTGTCATAAGTGACACTGGTAGTAGTTGCTATAGGCACTGTGGCAGTTATGGAATCTGAGCTAGAGCTTGTTGGTTGTTGGTTATAAATTTCTGATAGACCACCCCAACGTAGGCGATATTGACGTGTGGTCCAGGTAACAACAGATGGGCGCCATAAGAGTGCTGTCAAAAACAGGTATGGTCCCATGAACTCTCTATATAACCAAGCAACTAAGTACTCAAATTTTGTAAACGGCAAAGGCCCATTCTGTAATTTAAAACACAAACAAATAGTAAGTTTTTTTTTCATCAAATAACGTTATTAGGTATAGTTCATTTTTAAATAGCATTCAGTTTCAATTATTTTAAAATATAAGATCATACTTTTTTGAACTACATAGTTTGTACTTATCATAATATTTTAAAAATATATAATATTATATTCAGATAAAAAAAAATAAAGGTAAATAAATTACATATCTACAACACCTCTGATATTTAAATTGTAGGTAGTTTGAATATATGTATTTACTACATAGTATTAACTATACATTTTTAACTAAATAAAAATAACTTCAGTATTTAAATTCTATTTATATAGTATAGTAGGTTCCTAAATAATCATTATAGGAAACAAAATAACAACAGAAATTGACTTTTTTCATTTCATTAAAGTACCTAACTTAACTTGATTGTCATTTATCCTTTTCACTTTTTATTTCTTTTGTCTTGAGATTTTTAAATGTCATTTCTTCTCTTTAACAGTAATCAGATAGTCAAAGATCAAAACTCATAGTAAAAAAAGCTTGAACAAAACTTTGATTGGAAAATTAATTATAGATGAAAAAAATCAAAATTAAATCAATCTTAAGAGGATGCCACACCCGCATTTGTTGTCTCCGTCTTACAAATGCAGAACATAGCAAAAACTTTTTAGGAGAACTATGCTCACCTCTGTATTTATAATAGAATTATTATTAAAATTCTACATTGTATAGGGAATAACTTTATCTGTGTCGTAGCGTTTTTATTATTTAGATAACATAAATACAATATTACATAAATGAAAGTTATCAGTTTGAGAACATAAGGTTTTTTTTTTTGTTTGTTTAATTATTAAAAATTATTGGTAGGTGCTATAAAAAAAAAACAAATGCTCTGCAACACAGATAAAGTTCTTCTTTATGTGTTGTGGAATTTAGGAAATTCTACTTTAAATACAGAGGGAGCATAGTTATTCAGGTACATTTTTAAGACGGAGGCAACGCATGCAGGTGTAATGTCCTCTTAAGTCAAAGCTAAAAAAAATCATTAAGGTGGCACAAATAGGGTATCTTTAAACATGAAATCTTTTTTTTAAGAGATCAAATATTTTTACGGTTACTTTATGACTGATTTTTGATTATGATAATCTTGAACAGCATTTAGCCATTACAGTAATATTGAATTATATAAATTTAATCTCAAAGCCAAATAGAATACTTAAGTTAGTCAGTGGATTATTAAAAATATTTTTTTCTTGAAAATATGTTCTTCTTTAATAAATAGCCTATAAAACTTCTATTGTAATTTTGAAGTGAATCATATAATAAAATATTCTGTCAAATGAAAAATTTAAATAGTGGAATAGTATATTTTTAATAGATCAACATTTATCATAAAACATTTTAAGATGCAAATTAATTTAAGTTTTTTAAGCGTGTAGCGTACCTGCATCACATTTAAAAGAATCCAATCTAATAAGAACCAAACAAGCACATGTATCATGTAGAATGCATAAGGATCAATTGAACCACCAGAAAGTGTATTAGCAGCCCATGCAGCACATGCTCCTAGTATCAGACATTCAGATAATGGTTCCAACACAATTGTGTGTGGTACCATAGCTATCCTAAGTTTGACCCACCTGAAAAAAAAAAATGTATGTATACTGAGGAAATCTATTTAAAAAAAATTAATATAAGAATTTAATCATTTATTAAACTAAATTAAAATAACCAGTATCTATAAAATATTACCTTCTAAGACGATCTTGAAATTTACTTAGTTCACTGCCTCCATTATTTTGTAATGCAGGCCGACTACTTACAGTAGTGCGCCAACCTCTGGCAACTACTAATTTGGCCATAAAATAATCTTCAGCAAGATAACCGGCGAATGCTTGCAAACCTCCACATTCATCCATTGCTTGCTTACGCAATAGTGTTGACATACCTGTATGGCATATGGCTCCTACAAGATCAGCCATTAAGTACACTCGTGCATGGGCAGTTCCAAAAAATACCTTAACAACAACAAAAAAAATTATGATACAATACATTAATCAAATACCTTAAAGATTGCTGTGCTGTTCAGTTGTACTTTAATACACTGAATTGAGCACATTGGGAATCAATAAGTTCTATTTTCTATCCAATAGCATCCAATATTGAAAACCCCTCCTACCCCCCCCCCCCCAAAAAAAAATTTGTTTTATTTATTTTTCCAAAATTGTTTTGCTTGATCAAAAAGTTTGAAAATTTAAAACAAAGTTTCTCATACATTATTCAATTATCAATTTAAAAATATCAGAAATACATCTATGCAATTTTTTTATAAGCATTTGAAATTCAAGTATTGACAACATTTATCAAAATCATCCTAACTTAAGACATCCATCACCAAACCTTTGTTGCCAACCTTTTCCAACAAGTGGGCCACATTAACACATTGACCGTTATGATACCCCAAACCAGTTTTCTTCATAGGTTTACTAAAAAGGGGTATAAAACTCCGTGAATTGGCCGAATCGAGCTTTGAAATTTGAATACGGTCTCCAGGGGGGGGGGGGGGCATACGTGAAATAGAGAATGGTAAACAAGCCGACCCCGCGTAGCGTATCCCTCCTATGTTTCGGAAAAGGTTTACATAACCGGGAGACTTTGGGTCTAACATCATGTTAGTGAACGGAAACGTTACCATGTTGTACGAAGGTTCAGACTTTAGATCATAGGGAAACAAGTCTATTAGTATAAGGTCTAGGTCTTCTTGTCATCGAAGTCAGCCGCCATTTACAAAGCAGGCAATATTTACAAAATAATATTATCATAGTATATATGTATGGATAAATATATAAATAAGTAAATAAATGTAAATGTTGCCTGCTATGTAAATGGCGGCCGATTTCAATATTTGTCACAACTGCTATCTATAGTTATTGTATACATCTAGGGATTTTGTACAGAGCGTTGCTCAACCAGTCTATCTTAAATCATAGTTAGTGGTTCTTATGCTAAAATCACGATTAAAGATATACAGGTTGCACATCGACTACTGATAAGGTGAAATACGAAATGACTACCAATAATTAACCAGTGGCGCTCCAAGCGGCAGTATTACAATTAACCAATTATAGATATATAGGTGTAAAATTAGTTCTAAATGTCGACACATATGGTTGAGTGTTGACATTAAGCGCCACTAGTTAATTATTAACAGCTGATTTTTATAGTCACTTTGTAAATCAGTCTGGAAGCGGTTTACTATAGGGCGATGTGCAACCTGTATATCTTTAATCGTGGCTAAAATACAGTTTTGAAAACAAATATTGATAAAGAAAAAACGAATTATCATATTTTCAAACTTGTAACACCTATTGAGAGAGGCAACACTGTAGATTTTAAATCGGACGAGAAAATACTGATTATTGAGATTTGAGACCCAGAAAGTGCTAACTGCCAAAGTGGTATGGGCTATTCGGCTGAAGATTATTAAAGTGAGACGAAGACCTCAGAAACTAACTTTTTAAAATTTGTTTAGACTTAGAAATAAGAATCGGGTTTCATGCTCTCATGGCGGTTAAGCCATATTTTGTGAAAAACACCGTGGCGCTCAACGTGTTAAAAATTTGAAATACCTGGTGATTGGCCACTCTCTGTTTAAGTTTATTATTTAAATTATTATTTATCCATAGAAAAATTGTGTTTTTCTTTGCTAATAAATACTTTACTTTGTATATAAAGCATAAAAGTGTTTATCAAACTTTATGATTGTGCACGTGATCAACGGATAATGGTATAATTCATTTTTGGTATGTTCGCATAATATTTCTCCTAACCAGTCTAATGATTAATGAGTAATAGATTATTTTTGTACAATACAAATAGTAACTACCTAACAGCATGTAAACTAAAATATCAGATATAATTTATGTAATTTTATAAGGATGAAGTGTAATTCAATTATTGATGATTATTAATTTTGTAAGTAAGCTGTAGGTACCTAGGTAGTCGGCAGGCTGAACGTCTAGCTCGGAGGCAAGTGAGTAGACTTACAGATGAACAGAACGAGGAAAAAAAGTGTTTCATGATTCAAAAACTCAGTAATTTTGTTTTCCCAACCCAAAATATCTACGTATGGGTTGAAAATTCAACATAATTAAGAAAAGACATTATATATTATTTTACATTACATAATATCTCGACTGTGTGTACCACCCTCTACCCTACTGGAGGTTCTCTAGAACCTACATTGTTAAAAAGTGATGGCCAATACCTGTTGCATAATAGATAAGACCAAATGGTAGCCATCTTTTTCTAAAAATGTAGTTACCTTTAATGTTAAACTTCGCTATCTCTCATTCTCTAGCAGTATTGATATTAATAAATAATAATAATAAAAGTTTATTGCAATAGCATCAATTAACATGGTTAGATAGACAATATAAGTAACAAAAGTTGCAACTCATCCTTAAGCAAATAAGCTTGAATGCAGATAAGTTCTATGAAGGTATAACAAAAATACAAAATATAAAAAAAAAAAAAACAAGTTACAAATTAATTATTCCAAAAATACAAAAAAAAATAAATCTAAGATAGAACACTAATTACATGATTTTTATATTGATTAAAATTAATAAAAGAAAAAACATTTATATTATATACTCGTAATAATAAAACACCTTTAATAATAATAATAATGCTTTGATTACCAAAATTAGTTTTATTATGAGGAATATTTAGGTTGTTATTATTTTTTAGTTTTTTATGGTAATCATGCGATAGTTGATAATCCTTTTTAATTTTGTACATATATAATAAAGTTTGATGTTCATATGATATCCTCAAAAGTTGAACATTAAGAATTGTATATCATAAATTTGAAGAAAAAAATCTTGGCTTATTTAAAATAACTTTTATTAAAGATTTTATAGTTGTACATAATACATTAATATGACTGGAGTATGTGCATTCCCAGACCAAAGAGCCATATAATTAAATTGAGCAAACTACCCTTAAGGTTTTAAGATCTAATATATTACGGAGTATTTTAAATTTATAATATAATTTTATAATTTATTGAATTATTAACAGAATGAATATGGTCGGCAAATTTTAGTCTGTGGTCAAAATTAATACCTAAGTATTTAATATTATACACTCTCTCTAAAGGAACACAATTACAAGGTAAATTTAAATATTTACAATTATAGTAATGTATACATAATTCAGAAATAGAACTATATGACTTATTATGACGATATTAATGGGAATAGATTATCACTGTTGTTGTAGATGGGTAATGAGTATCGACCAAGGAGCTAGGACACTTTGTTTTGGATAAATTGTGTGATAGTGACCTTGAACACGAGAAAACTAGTTGTATCCCAGGGACGTAGCATTATTACCACCACAGACCTTATAGTGGTTATTTTATACCTTATAGGGTACATACGTTTCTACCATGAACTTAGAAGATAATGTTGTCAATTAAATGAATAATATATTAATACTATCACAGAATAAAGCCGTTGAGAGTTATAATAATATATACCTATAAAGCCTATATTATTTAATATTCATATTTAAACATTTTATTTTTTTTTAAACAATTATTGGATTATGTACAATCTGTAATGGTATTAACAATGAGCATATGGGCGGGAAAAAAATATATAGAAGACGTTGAGACGTGATGAGAGAAGTCACACAGCAGTAACACGTAGGATATTTAAACATAAAATGAATTACTGTAATGATACAAGATTATAATACCATGGTCTTAGATATTATACTGATTCACAACTCCCATATTAAATTTCTTATAATACATGGAGGTTGGACCATTCAAATATTCAATATGTAATAAGACTCCACGTATATCTAGAATATAGTGAACTCTAGCAGGAAACCAGAAAACTGTTGTACAGATGGTGGTTGTGTGTTGATCTTGTTTCAAAAATTTCACACAAGCAGCTCTTAGTAGTTCTTCATTATTCGTTCTTATGATAATGCAATAATGAGAGGGTCCATTTATTTTATATTAGGTATAGTATTATAGTTGTGTAACCAGTATATCTACAACCGTGTATAATATTGACAAGTGACAATACTCGCCAATTAAAATATGTTTTTGTTTATGTTATTTTTTATCAAAGAGGTGTTCATAGATGTTGCCCATATGTATCAGATTACAGATAAGGTTGACACTTTTAAGTCCAATGACCAATACTAGGGGAATGACACAGTGTGAATTGTAATTTAACTTAGTTACAGCATCCTATATAACATTTAGTGTGTGTGAATATTCTAATTATTCTTGTCGGAGTTTTTTCAGGCTGCAACTTGACTTTTGAAAGTATATTTTAAAATGGCAAACAATACTCTTTACTTTTTGCCAGACATCTCTTATATTTTTGAAGGTGTGTTTAACAGCTGAATTAATAACTAAGAATGCTTAAAATACTCTATGTGTCTTCAATTACATAAAACGATTGCTTGGTAATATTTAGGCATTATTCAAAGTACATGCTGCATCTCTGAAAACTCCATCTTACCCCATTAAAATGTTCACTTGTTTGTGACTGAGTATTTACAACATTTTAATAATTATGTTTTGAGAATACAGTCATTAGTCATTACCAATAAAATGAGTAATAACCGCTTTTGTATTTTACCAAATGCAATCTAAGAGTTGTCAATCTAACATAGCAAGCATAAGAATATAAACAACTTTATAATTTTGTCATACACTTCACTACACATCATAGGTAGATGTGATTTTATTATGGTTTTTTTGGAATATAGAGTACGACCTGGATTCAAAATATTTTTTAGTTTTTTACTCTATCTTCAACAAAATACAATGGAAAATATTATTTTACTACTTTTTAAAACTTATTTTTTGATAACGTGTTTTCTTCATACACTTGCTTGCAGGTTTCAGCATATAATATCTAATCTAGTTATATTGAATTTATCATAACACAGATTACTTAGCAGAATTTTTATTTATTTCTATTAGACTTTGCTTAAGTTTTGGAATCAATTTAAACAGCTTTAAATAAATAAGACTGTAAACCATTTCAAGTTATTTTGATGTATTAAGTTGAATTCTAAATTTATAATAATTGGTCAATTCATTCTAATATTAACAACATAGAATTCAAACTTCTGAATACAAATTGGTTATGTTGTCTATTTGCAACACAGAGATTACACATACAGGTGTAACTTCCACTTAAAGAAATTATTGTTTTCTTTTGATTTTTAAAATGAATTGTATTATTTTATTCATGGTTAATAGTAGGTTTATTTTATCAATTTTGCATAATATAACAACAACACAATTGATTAGCTCTCATTTAGTCAAATGAGGTCAGCTCATCCACGTTTTATTTGGAAAAATATTAAATGTCTTAATTTATTAAATGTAAATAAGAATTTTTGAGTGATTTGAGGTACAACAATATGAAGGTAAGATTATTATTTAGAGCATATCAAAGGCTTTTTTTAATATATTAATTACAAAGCAAGTTATATGCATTTTAAAACTAATTTTAATATGTTTACAACTTGATTTAGAATTTAAATATCAATAAAAGGCTCTAAGATACCCTAGATAATCTTACTTTTAAATTTTATAATAAATCAACTCAATTTAGTTTTAAAAATAACAGAGTAATATTGATTATTGTGAACATATAATTTGCTATGTTGTACGTTTGTAATTCGGAGAAAACACATGCGGGTGTGGTGTCGTCTTAATGACTTATCAGAAAAAAAGCTATTTTTATGAACCTCCTAGAGTAATTAGAAAGATAATAAATTTTTTTTTTAAATTTCTATTATTTCCAATAAAGTAATTTTTACCTAATATTTATATATATACACATAATATTTTACAATTGCTCGGGCCTTGGTTAAAATAAATATATGAATATGGACGCACTATAAAAATATGCGCAATAACAGGGTATTATTTTACACTTGATTCGTTGTTATTGTTAGTATTAGCAAATACCAGTGTTAAGAACTAAGAGGTGAAGGTATCTAGGTATCTAAGCCTATCTAACCATGATTATTATTTATATTCACAGACTTCCGTGTTACAAATTGTAATATTATTGAACATTGTATACTAGAAGTCTAGGTTTACATCATGTTATTTGTATCAACACTTATCTATAAGTAATAAATTTAATTATTTGTGATAAAATATATTTTTTTTTAAGTGATAACGGATCTGCAGTATGGTATATATTATATTAAGTCAACACTCATCCAACCATAGAAGGTGTCTCCTCTCCCCTAGGTGGTCTATTTCTGTCCTCGAAGGGATTGTGATCCTCGCCCAAAACAGAGAGGCCTGTAGGACACCACCTTTTTGTTCAAGATAAAAAATGTATGGGGAATCTTCTATTAAAATGTTTAATGTTAACTATGAGATTAAAAATTTCATTGTGAATACAATATTCTTCGCTCAGAATCTAAAATTTGGTGAAAATGTCAAGTATTTGGGGTTATTTGTTTTTTTTTTCTAATTCCAGTATTAGGAAGTTATCAGGAATCTCGAACATTTTCAACATTTGGTATAAACATTACATTTTTTAGAAATTTTTAAATACAAAATAATTAACAAAATTTCGTAATTATGATGAATTTTATAAAAATAAAACAAAAAAACAATAATGAAAAAAAAATTGTGACTATATTTTTGATTTTTATAAATTACTCAAATAAAAATTAAGAGGAACCTTGCATTAAATCAAAAAAATTATAATGTCAATATACAGCTGTGTCAATATATTTTGAAAATATACCAGAATATATATATATATACTATAGAAAATGGGAATGTTAACGTTTAGTGAAAATCTCATAAAAATGCAGTTAATCATTTTTGAATTACAACAAAATAATAAAATCACATTTTATATAATAATTCCCATTTTTTTTTTGGTTTTTCCTTTTCATTAAGAAAAGTACAGATAATTTTTTACTTTAGCCCACTCCCCCACCCCTCTAAAGTACCAACTATATTCATAATCTTGGAGCATTTATACTGCTCTAAAAAGTGATTAGAGACACAAAAATAAAATATGTATAAAACCAGTTATCATTGTATAAATACTGGCACAATGCTCTAAAATACCGCTAGGAATATTCTTGGGAAACATTTTAGGATAAATTAAATATTTAAACATAGGTAATATTAAAAATTTAATTTTTTTCTAGTATTGAAATGTGATATGTTAAATTTGAAATTTTGATAATTCAATGATAAATAAATGTGTTATAAAGAAAAACTAAATAATTATATCAATAATAATATTCAAATTTTAACCAATTTTCAATTTTTTTTTAGTAGGTATTTACTAATTATTTTAAAACTGAATTTTTTACTTTAACCTCCCAAAAGTACCAACTAGATAATTTACTACAAGAAAACTCCATCAAAGCATTTAATCCACTAGAAAGTGTCTTGAGACAAAAAAAAATTAAAGAAACACATATTGTTGAAAATTCAAAATATTCATCTAAATCTTAAAATTTTGAAATCAACTACTTATAAACACAACCAAAATGATTAGTTCTATAATTTTAACTTTTTATTTCTGAACATATTTTTAATGCGTAAGCATATAAAGTGAAATTCCAATCTGAATGATATTGGATTTAAGTCAGCTTATAAGCATTTGTTGATATAAAAGACAATTTTCTTAACTAAAATAAAATGGAAAACGATTTATTTGAACACAGGAAAGTTGGGTATACAGCTAATCAATAGTCATATATACAATTATAATTATTTTCCGATAACATACTATCATGATTATTTAAAATAAGTTACTAATGCTTAGTGCACCAATAAAAATTAAAAATGGACATTCCATACATTTATTAAATTTAAAAGTGAACTATAAAAAGTTTGTTTCAGACAAAACTTTATCAAAATAATGTTGACATAGTTTAATTGATAAAAAAACTATAGCCATTAAGTGTTGCTTGATATATTAAATTAGGTTAGGTTCATTATGATACTAAATACACTAATCACCAAATCAAAATAATTATAGAAAATTACTTAGTTAAGCAAAGAGCAATTATGTTTGGCGTTTGGAGTTATTTCATTACTTTTAACTATCTACTAGTAGAGTAAATTAAAACTAAAACATTTTAAAAGCAATTTAACGAAATTGCTATCATGAATTAACTAAAACTCTATTAGAAATAAAATTCCTACATATATATATATATATGTATAGATATATTATGTATGTTTTTAAATTAACTGTCAATCTAATAAATTCTTTATTATAAGCTCGAAAATAAATTAAAATCAGTTTTATGAATCATACATTTAATAAATTAGGTAAAATATTAAATTAAAATGATTTATATTAAATTTTTCTTAATCGCACATAAATAATCAGTCTATTTTAAAATGTTTAAAGCTACACATGGCTATCAGAATTCAAAAACTTAAAATTACCCATTTAATAAAATACTTCAAATGGTAAAAATATTCAATAAAACTCACTTTTTCTAAGGTGGCAACAAAACGTCGTTGTTTGCGAGTTTGATTTTGATATTCTACTTGCCCATCTAATTTTAAAAATGATGAAGGATCTGTTGAATTATCTGACAAAGGTGAAGTCATAGGCTCAGTTCTATTGTCAATTCGATCACATGTGAATGGTACTTGATGAACAATTGCAACATCATCAGCCATATTATCAACCATATCACTAAGTGTATCTTTTTTCACTGAAAATAAAGAAATTGATAAAATAAATCAATTACATGAATTCCAGTTTATTAAATTTTACTACAGGGCTATTAGCTAACATTATGGAATTTATCAGTTGCTAGTAGATAGAAAAATTATTTAAGAAAAACATTACTCGTGTATTATGTAGGTTAAATAGCTAATAAATAATAAATAATCATGATTGATGAATTTATGATTTTATGGTTATATTGCGTAAAAAAAAATTATATTTATTATTTTTATACTTTTTATTGAACTATCCGATATGAGTATCAAAGAATACTTGGCTGCTTGGTATGCTGCGTGTACATTATTGATTTTTGGATTAACACCTACTTGAGAACCACCTATAAAACATAGTTGAAATTAAACATAAATTTAAATCTTCCCAATGACATAGGTAATGCATAGAAAAATTTGAAGAAAAAATATTTTATAAAAATTAAAATTAAAAATGTATTTGTGCTTTTATGAAACTAGGTACTTTGATGAAAATTTATTTAAATACCTAAAAATAGTCGAGCATCTACTGTTGGATACATTTCCAATAGCCGATTAGCTACCATTGCAGCAGGATCATTTCGGTCAACCACACATATTAATACTTCATACTGTAAATTATTATTACCATAATATACTCTAAATTATACAAAACAACTTACATCACATTATAATGAAAGATAATATTACCGTTGGGTATTCCATTTGAAAGTAAGAGCTTAGGTTGACAAATAGATTTGGATCCACACCCAATAATGGTTTCAATATACTAACACCCGGATACTGTTTTTTGTTATTTCTCGGCAAACCATGTTCTAAAGACACTAGAGATGGTATCAACTGTACAGATGATTCTGGTTTTGGTTTTCTGTATAGTTTGAACTTCCTATTAATGGAAATATAATAAGATTAAAGGTGGTACTTCTAAACGTACAATAAGTTGATAATGTAACCATTAAAATACAATTATCAATTAAAATATATACATAATAGTTACCCATAACATATTGCACTTATGTGCACCAACCAATAACCGCACCAGAATATGAGCAGCCCGCAAGCCAATAGTATGTCATAATCGACAAACATTGGCGGTGGTATCAGTTGCATCGTTAGTTCTACCGCTTCTCCTTGCTATTGTATCCATCTACAGGTAATATCCTCTTCTAGCACTGGAACACCTAGGCACAACTCCACGTTCACATAACAATTTTAAGACACAGCGTAGCTGCTATCTGGTTTATTGGTGTTGGGTGTATTATCGTCGTCGGCAATGGGTCAAACGAAAAAACACCGAAGGAATGTAACACACTTTGGCGGTAAAACGGTCGTCGGTCGGTCAGGCGCTCGCTGCTAGCTGTCGGCGAATGACAATTGAAATCGCCTCACGGCGTAACGAAAACAACAGCCAGCCGTAAACACATTTCGTACGGCAGCGGTGATTGCGTAACATCTTTATTATCAGCTAATGTGTTTTATCGAAAGGCGAAACGTGTGCGGTGTCATTGGTAAGTGAGTATAAACGTAACATGACGCCTCGATGTACAATACTATGTACTATATACATACGTACAATGTATCGTATGTACACTAGAGACTGCGAGAGCAATAATCGAACGATATTGTTGCATAATGCGTGCCTCAAGTCTGATAAGCATTACCCATTAATTATCATTATTATTATTGTTGTTATAAATTACACGTCCGCGTGATAGTAGCGAGAGGGGCACGGTGTTGGCACTAAATAGATTACAGATCCCCGTCACTGACGGCAGCAGCTGCTGCAGCCTCGTAAGTACCATTCTGGTTATCGTATACCAAAACTCTGATGATGTTCAACAATATATTGTTATTATCATGTCGGGCGATCGAATGATAACGTTGTCTCCGGAGATCATCATCATAATGTCGATATCACAGATAGGTGTTGTTGTTATTTAATATTTATTTCGTCGCCAATAAATAAAACGTGCGATTCCCGTGCCTATAATACTATCTACGGAAAAATGCACTGAAAGTATTTACGTACTATGTACTGTGAGCGTTATATAATGCGATTAAAAAAACTCGTTTACAGGCCCTCGTCGACGTTAGCGGACCTGTGCTGTGAATCGATTTAATTAGGGAACTTGCGCGCGCGCGCGTAGGTATATACGTGTGTGTGTGTTTTTTGTGTGTTATATATTATTATAATAAGTGTGTGCAGTACACTATTATTATACACGCGATGCACGTGAGTTGGGACGAAAATTAATCAAAAATCGACGTCGGCGTACCGGAACGAGGACGAATAATGTATATTATTATTATTATTACCGTCCGGCACGGCCAATTTCACAAAAAGCTTTGGCCCTTTATACTTTGCGTACCTAATTTAGTATTTACGCTGACCGCGTGACTGCAGTAATGACTAACGATGGTATTCACGGGGTCATTACAATATTTTATATGGGCACTGGACAATATTTTAATAGAGAAATTCACCAGTGATCATCCATTTATGTCATTGTTATGACCAAATCACATGGGCAAAATTAAAAAATATTATCTAGAATGGCCAAATGACGCCAAATGATAAACAAAAAAAATATTCTTATAAAAATTACAAAACAAGTTTTTTATTTAAATTTTAAATTGTATTAAGTCAGTATGTTACGGTATGTTATCTAGTCAGTAGTCATGGCCTGACCCGTAGTGACCTTTACCAAGTCAACTACCCAGTGAAAAGCCGAAAAGGATGGGGGGGTTAAGGGGGCTACAGATCTACAGCACCTCCAGTCACCATATTAAATTGTACAATTTTTTTAACTATTCAGCATTGCAAACTTGAAACATTAAAATATATTGTTTTAAATTTTAACTAGGGCCTTGCACCCAAATTAACCGGAACCCACAACACCCCTAAAAACAATTAAAAAATCAAACACCCAAAACCCATATATAACCCAAATGATTCTGTTTTCAAAATACCCGAATTATCCAAAACCCGAATAAAACATTTTGGTTAACCCGAAACCCGAATAATTTTGTTTTTTACAATCTTATGGGATATTTTTATCATTTTGAATGTATTTCTTGTGGCGAGTTCGATTCTGTAGTTAGTTGTTTAATAGTAATAATAAATTAACAGGAATAATTTTACAATCAATCGTAGGTAAATTCAATAATTATTTTCTTGAAAATAAAATCCAATAAAATTAATAATTGATTCTTAATCGCCAAATAATATCAAATTATTTCTTATAGCTTATGTATATATAGATTACTTTATTAGTACATAAAATAAATGCAAAATTTGGCCAATAGCAATATAAAATATAAACATGTCTCAACAAAACTGAACAACGTAGTGACCAAAATACCAAATATTAATAACTAAATAGTATCTACTATCTATAATTAATAGTTAATACCTATACAGTATTATTTTCCAGCCAACTTCCCAAGCGGTATTATTATAATTTAGTAAGGAATATCGTAATTCATTTCTATACCAGTTTTCCGAAAATCGCAAAATCATAACTTATATTTTATTTCTCAAAGGTTCAGAGCCCCAGCCCTCTATTGCCTGTTTTAATCATTTTAGTTAACTTATATCTGTCGACTTGGCAAGTGGAAAATAAATAGGTACCTAATTAATTTCCCATTGTCTTAGTTAATAAGTACATTAATAAACCGAGTTTTGTATAAATAAATGTTCTCATTAGGAATTTATATTTTATTACAAATAACATAAATCATTTTTGTTTTACATTATTTTTGCTGCTTGTCAATTTTTGGGGGTCTCAGACTTCAAAAGTTGTGTTTTTTCAAGACTACTGAACACCAGTATTAACTAATATTAACCCGAATAATAATGGTTATGAAAACCCGAACGTTTGTTTACATTTTTTATTCCGGTGAATGAATACTCGATTACATCCAGCCTCCGAAACCCGAATAAATGATTCGGGTGCTAAGCCCTAATTTTAACAAAAGTAGATGAACCATAAACATAATATTATTATTATCACATTATTGAATGTTTAACTCGAGGTTTAACGTTAGTTGAAATGTCATGAAACTGATAAAACCACAAGATATTGTTTGTTCACATAGTCCGCTCACCTAAACTTTAAATACTAGCAACTTATTAGCTATACCTTTTTTATAGTTCCCTAATAATTATTAACCTAAATAGTCGTTCGATATTTGATTATTATATTTAAGTACCTACTTTAAAATGTATACTCTGAAAAATAGTCAGCTTTATAAAATGAAATTAAAAATGTATTTTGTCATTAAAAAAAAAAAATAATTAAAATAATGATATGTACCTACCTAATATAAAATAGTTATTACCATAATACCCATGTATTTACTACCTTTCTGTTTACAATAACTAATATATTAACTATTAAGTGTACTATACTACTATTATATAATATACTACGATAATAATTTATATAGGTAATGAAAAAAAATGTGTTATAGTATAATATCCAGGGCTTGCAAACGTTATATTTGACAAAAAAACGATTAAAATTTGTAAACGTAATTACAACGGAGAGCGATAATCAAAAATAATTGAATTCCGCAAAACAAAACATAACGATTGACAAAATATAATACATATTATTAAATAAAACATAACGCAAAACGTAATTTATAGAATATCATTTAACGAAAAATAACGCAAAACGAAATATTTTATAATCTATTTATTTAAAAGGTCTATTGGTTTCTCAGAAACATTTATTTCAATATTTCATGCAAACAATCTATAATTGATTATATCCGGACCATTACCTACGCGCATTAGTTATTATTTTTAAATTTAATAGGTGTTAACACTTTTTTAAATGAAAATCTTGGATAACGTTTTAATTATGAATAACGATACACACAAAAATTGTGTAACGTTTTAATTGTAAATAACATAAAACGGAATTTTTTTTAAATGCAATCCCTGATAATATCTAATTTTAATTCACTACTTTTAGCCCGTGGTGGCCAGAGGGAGGGGGGGGGCATTGCTAAATCGGGGTTACACCACTGCATTATAATATAATATATTATATAGTTTTATATATAATTTTATATACACCATAGGTGGCCAGCAAAAAGAAACCGCATTGCCCGCAATATAGAATAAAAAAAATATGAAAGCTAAAATAAAAGTTTTCGATAAACGAATGTTAGGGAAAAATAAATTTGATATAGGCGTACCTATACGGCTATACCTATATTTCTATAATATTATAATAATAATTGGCCGATCGTTATTATAGATAATTTATCAAATGTAGTAACTAATAAAAGTAAAACGAGAAAATAACATATTAACATTATGAATTATGTCAAATTAAAGTATTCTATTAGTAGTTAGTACCTATTTTCGAGATGTATATAAGGTGACGCGGCTTTGATCGGCCGGAAAAGACTTTATCAGGATAACAGAAGGGAGATTATAATATGATGTGAGTATAAGCATGTCCGTATACTCAGTGGCGTAATTTGGTCATGGTTGTGGGGGGGGATGAAATGTATGTACATTTCACCAATTACCCCCCCCCCCTCAACATTTTTTTTTTTAATCGCATAAGCTATAAGCAATAAGCACCCCTCAATACAATAATACAACCATTATGATCTGTATGTAATAACTAATAACTAGTAGCCGGAATTATATTCTTTTGCATATTTTTTTTGAGTCTATGCAGTCAGACGGGGGTTCGAAATCTTTACAAATCATGAAACAGGTGAGTTAATGGCAAAAGTTTATTTTGCATATTTGGGAATATTTCAAGATAAAAGAATATTTCGTATAATAAAAAATATTAGAGAATATATCGATTAATTTTTGTAGATGTTCGATATTTTTTGTTGCAGTGGCCTAAATAATATAAATAGCACATATAAAAACATTTTAACCGACCGTTGTGCAAATATGACATCAGGGAACATGGAACAAAATATAGTTGTCAACTGTTTTCAAAAATTTTCTTAGTTAAAAATTTAAAATAATTAAATATTAAATCAAACTTTCTTAACAAGTAGTATTTTTTATTATGTAGGTACCTATTTATATCAGGTTTTTATATTATTTTGCATATTATGTACCTATTTAT